GGCTAACCTAACTCCCTCACACCCCACAGTGTGAAGATGGTGACTGTCTGAGCCTGTAGGCTAACCTAACTCCCTCACACCCCGCAGTGTGAGGATGGTGACTGTCTGAGTCTGCAGGCTAACCTAACTCCCTCATAACCCACAGTGTGAGGATGGTGACTGTCTGAGCCTGTAGGCTAACCTAACTCCTTCATACCCCGCAGTGTGAGGATGGTGACTGTCTGAGCCTGTAGGCTAACCTAACTCCCTCATAACCCACAGTGTGAGGATGGTGACTGTCTGAGTCTGCAGGCTAACCTAACTCCCTCATACCCCGCAGTGTGAGGATGGTCGTTGAGTTCTCCACGACCACTGCAATGGATCAGCGAACCCAGTAGAGTAGAGAGGGCTGGAGGAGGAGATGCCACTTCAGGTTTTCACTCTGCATAGCTCACTCACTTGACCGTGCACGGAGCCGGGCACTGGGGGTGCTCTGGGATTGGGTGTAGACTGGGCTCCTTCACCCCTGCTCTCCTGTACTTCTGTAATCCCTGTGCAGCATTACAGGGACATAGAGTGACACCCGCTCCCGCCCAAAGATGTCCTCGTCCTCAGAACCTGCCTGTGCATGGCACCACAGGCCCGTGCCTCCCTGATGACCACCACCTCACAACACAGACAGAGAGGGGCCACCCAGTTATCTGGGAGAAAGACAACGATGGGGCAGGAGGAGGGAGAAAAGCTTCTGAGCCTCCTGTGAGGCCCCCGCCCTGTGTTCGCAGACGCTCCTATGTCGCTGGGATGCTGACCAAGGAGCTCTAGTGGCATGGTAGAAAAATGTTCCTCAAATGCTAACCAGAAGAGTTGGCAGTTCAAATCCACCTAGCAGCTCCAAGGGAGAAAAGACCAGACGGTCTTCTCTCATGAAGATTCAAAACTTCCAGGCTCATTGTCATCGAGTCGGTTCTGACTCACAGTGACCCTGGACAAGGTCATTGTCATCGAGTTGGTTCTGACTCACAGTGACCCTGGACAGGGTTTCTGAGTCTGTAAATCTTGGCAGAAGCCTCACCTTTCTCCTAGAGTGCCTGGTGGGTTTGAACTGCTGACATTGTGCTTAGCCATCCAGCACTTATCCTACAGCATCAGCAGTGTCGTGGACTGGGGTCGACGTCACAACGGGTAACGATAAGTAACAGCCCACTCAGTGTCTTCTCCGGTGTGAACTATAGGCAGAGGTATGCACACACAACTGAGTGGACTTATTCATCTTGGGGCGTCCACTGTGTCTAGGACCAAACTAAAAGCCGGCCCAGCCCCACTGTCCTTGACTGCATTCCCTCATGGTGCCCCCGGCTTACAAAGCAGAGCTGCACTGTGACATTTTCTTGGTGCAGAACACCAGGCTTTTCTTCCGTAGTGCTACTGGGTGAGTTAATACAGGCAACCTGTAGGTCAGCAGCCAATGGGCAAGCGCTCCTGCCCACAGCCCCCGCCCCCACCCCCTCTGTCACACACACACACACACAGGGACCTTGTCTGTGTCCCTCAGGACAGTCTCTCACCACACCTTGCTGACTGGGAGGCCTGAGGAAATGCCTGCAGGCTTCCACTCTGCCACACCAATGCCTACATTTGCCTTCTGCAGAAAATACACTCGGCATCAGGTGCTTCTGTTAATTATTCACGCACCAGCCAAGGACGGGATTAATTACCCCTGGATTTGTCACAACGGTACAGAGCTCTGGGAACCTACACCATCAGCGAGAGCGGAGCTAAGTAATTAGAACAGAATTTACTAAGAAAACCCGTAAAAACCAGAAAAGCAATCGTACCAGTGAAATATTTCATAGACTAAACAGAACAACAAAAGTAACTTTGCTTGCAATGACTAAAGATTTGCTTGGCATGGGAGAAGGACACACTAGATAAAGAGAAGAGTCCCGGTGTGGTGCTGTAAGATAAGCACTGGACTGCTAACCGAAAAGCGGGTGGTTCAAACCCACCAGGCACTCACTCCTCGGAACCCCTATACAGGGTCGCTGTGAGTCAGAAGTAACTTGATGGCATGTCACAACAACACACAACACTAAAGTACAGAGTTGTTTGAGCCCCGGTGTGGTGCTGCAGGATAAGCACTAGACCGCTCACTGCAAAGTCGGTGGTTCAAACCTACCAGTAGCTCCTTGGAAACTCTGTACAGGGTTGCTATGAGTTGAAACTGGCTTGATGATACTTTACAACAACAACAACAACAACAGGTAACGAGACTCTTTGCTGGGCACCGCCTGGAAAGAGTTCCTCTCCCTGTGGTACCAGCATCCTGCATGACACCACACAACCGAGTCACCCGTGGACCAACGAGACAGAAACAAACAGGTCATTGCACCTGATTACACACAACTCTCTCCGTCTCAGAGATCTCTCGGCCTCAAACTGAGGCAAATGGGCAATGTCCTGATATCACACAACTGTGGGGAGTTCTGCGGCTGTGTTCTCCCACTGCTTCCAAGCCCTGGCGACCCAACTCATACTTCATACATTCCAACTATGCTGCGGCTTCCAGTCCACAGCTGCCCACTGCCGCTGAGTTGATTCCATATCACAGCAGCCCTGTCAAGAGGGATTCCGAAGTTGTCTATTTTAGGGGCAGCAGCCTAATCGTCTCCTCAAGAGCACTTGGTGGATTTGAACTACCGGTCTAGCAGCCCAATGCCTAACTCACAGTGCCACCAGGGCCCCTTCACCCTGAAAGACTGCGGTAAGCAGGCCCCTCGGAACCTCGTGCTCTACCCAAACCCAAACCCACTGCCATCACATCCATTCTGACCCATAGCAACCCTGTGTAGATTCCGAGGTTGTCAATTTTAGGGGACCAGAAAACCAATCGGTATCTGTACACCAGGAGCACTTGATGGGGACCCAGGATTCAGAGAAGGAAATGGTCATAGGCCTCACGAGATCAGAAGAAATGATTGGTGCCCAGTGAACATTACTGAACGTTTTCACCAGGGAACTAATGGAAGGCTCTTGATTAAAAGGAGGGAAACTGTTAAACAGAATGTAAATTTTTTATTGGAAACCAGATGCATTGAGATTACAGGAAGCCCCAAATCTACTGCCTGGAAATAGCCTTTAAGTCTGGAACCTAAAGTAGTCCATGAAGTTATTTGGAAACAAGAGGTTAGCTCAATGAATAAAGAATGGCTGCCAGACACACTGTACCTACCTCTTTCAAGAATTCTCTTCCTGAGATCACACCAACAGCACAAAGGTTACAGCAAAAATGGAAGCTGTGGGGCACAGCGAGCGGAAGTCAGTGGTGATGAGACAGGGTAGGGAGAACGCTAACACAACAGGAGGAAGTACCCAGAGCATGGGTCCCGACACAGAAATCGATGTATGTCTTGGTGCTCAAATTTTCTCACACACACACACACACACACACAATCCCAGGATGACAGAGGGAGTTACCTGAAGCAACATGGGAAAGATGTTTCTCCAATGTGAGATCTACTGCTGAGTCTTAACCAGTCTACACAGAAATACAATGGCATCTCCCGAAAAGTGAAAAGAAATGAAACCCAAATTCTAGAAGGAACTAGGCCACAGTTCAATTCCCAGTGTGTGTTTGTGTGGGGTTAGTTGGTTTATCGGTTTTCTGACTTCAAGTTCTCATCCTTTACAATTGTTCCTGCTTTTCGTCCCTTTCCTTACTGTTGCTAAGTACCACGAAGTTGGTTCCTTCTCGGAGCGACCCTGTAAATCAGCCTCCTCAATGCTGCTAGAACTTAGCCTTTAAAAAAGAGAATTTTATTTTCTCACAGTTCTGGAAGCTAAAATTCAGTTGCTGGCCATTGAGTCATGGACTGAACTGTCCCCCACCCCCAAATATGAGGGGCTTAGAAAAGTTGGTGAAAAAATGAAATGAAAAGGTAACAGAATTTTTTTTTCACCAAATTTTTTAAGCCCCTTTGTATGTGTCAACTTGGCTGGGCCACGATTCTTGGTGGTTTGCAGTTGGATGATGATGTGATGTGGCAGGGATGTGACCCCCACCCCAATCCCCCTGCCCCCAGGATGTGCTCTGATGTGATAGACCAACAGGAGGGTTCAGAACTGGCTACCAGAACTGACCCCCTACCATTAAGCTGACTCCAGCTCCTAGTAGTCCTCTCAGTCAGGGTTTCTGAGGGGGTCAATCTTTACTGGAGCAGACAGTCTCAGCTTTGTCTCAAGAAGTTGCTGGTAGGTTCAAACCCCTAATTCCATCACAGCCCTGATCTGATGTAAGGGGTGTTTCCTGGAGGGGTGGCCTGCAACACCTTCTATCTTATAAGAGCTCACAGGAGAGAGAAGTCAGCAGCGATTAGAGGGCAAGATGAGGCTTTCTGCTCCAGGCAAGATTTATAGCCTTGGAAGTCCTAGGCAGGGTGGCTAAGGCACACAACCACTGCCACCAAAGAAGAACTGGAAGTAAAGTGTAGTCTTTGGCTCTCAGATCCCTGCACTGAGAACCTCCGAAACCCAGGGGAAGGTTGGTGCCAAGTCACACAGGGCTCTCCCAGCAACCTCTAGAAGCTAAAAAGAGACGACAGCTGATCTACGCTTCTAGCCTCGGAAACTGTGAGGGAGTAAGTGTGTTTGTGACAGCTGCCCTCTTGTGGAGTTTCTGTAACAGCCGCATTAGAGTTGAAGACAGTGGTGGCCTTGGTGTGTCTAGTGGGCAGCCCTCGGCCTTCCTCAGGGGTCCTCACAGAGCCTGTCTTCCAAGTCCAAGTTTGTGTTCTAACTCTTGTCTGGCCTTTAGATAGTTTACAAGGGATTAAGGTTAAGACACACTCTGCAGTGGAGTCTGGGTGTGGTGCTGCAGGCTAATGCACTGGACTGTAAGGTCGGTTGAACCACAAGATCAGTGGTTCAAACTCACCAGCGGTTCCTTGGAAACCTTATACAGCGCCGCTATGGCTTGGAATGATTCCTCGGCACTTAACAGAAAGAACTACAATGGTATAGCCTCAGGAACAAAACAAAGAGGGCCTTCCTTCCAACCACAGTGACAGTCACAAATCTAGGAGTGAGACCGCAATACAGATTTTACAGACACACAATTCAACCCACAGCAGGAAGAAAAGAGAAGTGGATTTCTGAATCACAGACCTCAAATTAGGGTTGCTTCTTTATGCAACTCACGAGCGCTGTGAGAGCAAGATTTTGCAGTTGTGAATTATGACATTTTCAAAGGACTTTATTTCACTCCTGGGCTAGAAGGAGTTAACCACAGGAGGTTTTTTGAGGGCTGTTCTGAACCTCTGGAGTAGGCAAGTCATTAGCACATGCAGTCTCCTCCACCTCGCTGCCAGGAAATGCAAACTCACTATCTATAGAGCAGAACACAGATTTGTAAAACCTTGATTGCATTAAATACCCAATGAAGGCTTATTTTCATTATTTCTAGCTAAACTACTTGGAATTCAGGGCTTTCTTCTGCTGCTGACCGTTAAAATGCAGAGAAATTGCACGCCTGTGTTTCTGATTTCTATCCTTATCTGTAAACAGGAATAAGAAAAACTATCACTTAGATTTTCCAGACCTTGAAAACAGTCCCTGCACTCTTGTCATGTTGTCCTGGTGTGGCGCTGGAGGAGAAGCATTGGATCCCAAGGTCGGTTTGAACCACAAGGCCAGCGGTTCAAATCCAGCAGCCCCTCCTCGGAAATTCTATGAGTTGGAACTGGCTAGCCAACACTTTGCAACAACAACAAACTTCTTCTCATCCTTGTGCATGGAAGCAATAGCTTTGAAAAAACTAGCTGGAATACTAAAAGGAAACAGAAAATCCAGAGTGGTATTTTATTTCCCTGTCTCACAGTCTCCTCAAATCACTCATTCTCTGGTCCAAAATCTAAGCACACCTTTCTAATGATGACTATTTAAAAGTCTTGCTTACCACCTTGATGGTTCACAAACCAAAGATTGCTTCGGGAGCTACTCTGTTCTGGCAGAGTCAACCCTTGTCTCTGTGGTCGGGTCGGACTTTCCTAGGGGCCCAGCTACTCTTACATTACCTCGATTCTCCCTGGTGCTGTTAGAAGGACCGTGGCAACCAGGGATCCGGCAGAAGCTCCAGCAAAGGCCTTGACATCATCCAGCAGTTTTTTGCCATGTCGGCTGAGGGCCGATGCTGCCCCCAAGTGGTAGATGCCAAGAAACCCACACGCAGAGAAGGACAAATTGAGGGGCTTCATCCTGGCTGTGAAACTGGCAAAACAAAAAACAAACAAACAAAAAAGAATTTACAATTGATATGTAAATGAGAGGTTGGAGATTCGAACCCACCCAGCTGCTCCATGACAAACAGCAATAACAGCCACCTAGCGATCTGTTCCCATAAAGATGACAAGACAACCCAAACGGGCAGAAATGACTCTGTGACAGTCTAACAGATTTAATGCTGGTTTTCCTTCCAAGACTTTCTATTAAACTTCTTGATGTTAAATGCTTTCAAGTCGTTTCCAACTCGTAGTTGAAGTTAAAACTCCCGGTTGGTAGTTTCGAACTGCTGACTTTGAGGTTAGCAGCCAGACTCGTAACCACTACGCTACCAAGTCTCCTTAAATCCAATAGAGTTTTCGTAGCTGAACAAAAAGGAGTTTACATTTCATATTTGTTCAGTATATAGATTTGGCATCTACTACCTAATTACTTGGAGAGATGCAGATGTATACATTCCAATTAGTAAAGCATTTGGCCTTTTTTCTTGATTTTTAAAAAATCTTCATTTTACTATTATTTGAGAAACGTGGAATTATCAGAGGCTGTAGCACATTGTAGATCAGTATGCTCTTTGCCAAACGTGCAACAATGACATGCAAATATGTTAAGTCGAGTCCCGTTTTTCCTTCTGTGCACGAGCACCAGCTACTTTAAAAAGAATGCTCACAATTCAATAATCTCACATTTATATTATGCATTTCACTGCCAGCAATAAATGCATATATTATTGGGATATATAAGATAATATGTGGTGGTTAAGTGACATCTAGTCGGTTCTATTAGCAACCTTGTATAGGGTTTCTGAAGAGCTACTGGCGGGTTTGAACGGCCGACCTTTAGGTTAGCAGTCAGGTGCTTTTCCTGCAGCGCCCCACCAGAGCTTCACAATATATAAATGTCCAAGTTTCCAGATAAACGGCATCAGGATTGGCAAAGGCAATTGCAGCCTCCAGGACATGTTATCTCCACCAATTAGTGCGGGCGCCGAATCCACGTATTACATGGGCCCTTCTCTGGAGCCCGGTTTTGATTTCATTTCTACTGTTCGACATGGGGAGTGGGGGAAGCAGCGTCCAGAAGGACCGGGTACGGACTGCGCAGGCCCACTGCGCGCACGCGCCCTGGAGGATGTGAGGCTGGGGTCGCCCTCCTCCCGCGCCCGACCACCACCACCATCACCACCACCTGATTGACCAAGGGAAACCCGAGCCCGCCCTAGCCCTGCCCTGCGCTCCCTCCTACCAATGCAGGCCTAAGCAACTTCCGGTAGAACCGCCCCTTGCACGGAGGGCTGGACATCACTCACTGCAGTTTCGCCTATTAGCGCCCGACTTCCTGGTCGCGCGCTTGCCTGGGGACTTCCTGCGGAAGAGGGCGGGGCCTGCCGCCTCACGTTGCCCGGACGCTAGCCTCCACCCTGCCCCCGTCCGGCCCTACTTAAAATACTGAGTTCAATATGGCGGCACTCGCTCGGCCGCTGAGACCGGAGTTCAGGCCATGGGCAAGGAGCAAAGTTTTCGTGTGTAGAGTCTTCTATTCTACACAGGGGCGCTCTCTAGTTTCCGGACGCATTTCGACGAGGTCTGTGGGCTGTCCAGCTGCGAATTAATTGACCCTGAATGACCCTCACTTGTGCGCCGGAAGTGTTTGGCTTGCCTCGTCGTTCTCCCGGAAGTGTTTAATTTCTGTTTCCCGCCCCTCACACCTTCCCTGGGGCGTTCGAATTGCACAGAGGGCGAGAACCAATGCCCCACAGTTTTTCAGGGCTTATGTTTGGTTTCTTTTAAAACAGTTATTAGGCTGGAGTATGGCATCGGCAGTGTCCACGCATTCCATCTGCCCTAGACTGTGTGACCTTGGGCAGGTTTCATAACCTCTCTGATGTAACCAGTGGATCCAGTCGGAGTGGCTGTCTGTTGTAAAGGTCATTCCACAGTCAGCCTGCTGTGCCCTGGACAGCACCATGGGCGCTGGCCTTAGGTCCCCACCCAGACTGTTTATGTTTAGGAATGTCTTCCTAGTGTGAGCCTTTTGAACCGGGGCGATCCCCAGCTAAAAGTACTCTGGTTCAAGACCAGAGATGGACTGTCAGGGTTGCCAAAGAGGAGAAACGGAAATGTCACTGTGGGCTTTAAGCCTCGATGCCACTGCATCACGCATCACTTCTTCTCAGTCTTTTTTCCCCTCCTTGTGAAGTGAGGGAGCTCTGGCTTCTGTCCCACAACGCCCCGTGTCAGCAAGAGCCCCGGATGTACTGTTTGAGACTCTCCCAAGCAATCTGCCAGAGCGAAGCCTGTGCAAGGCCGGGCCCAGCTTCCTGATTCCTGTCTCTGCTGCCATCGGGGCGACCAAGGCCCACCCCCCCTCTGTGCTCTTCATTAACACCTCTTCCTGGCGCCCCTAGGTCTCAGAGTCGCATGTGCATGTGAAGAGCGTCCCCAGGCTGCTCTGCATTTTAGCCCCAGGCCCCTGCTTTCCTTTCTGGAGCTGTGCTGGGGAGTGGTGGTCAGAAGCCGGTTCCGGTATCGGGGCGGGTGGATTCCCAAGACTGGGGCACACATGAGCTCTGGACAGCCCGGCCGGAGGGACAGACGCCAGCCGTGACTGAGGAGTCCCTTGGGAGTGAGGGCCCGCGGGGAGCAGATGGCCCAGCAAACGTAAGTCTGGCTCCACGCCCGATCACGTGACCCGCGCGAGTTTAGCCCTGTACACCTGCCTGCTTGTCCTGCCCCAGGATCCGTAGCAGCGTAGTGGTGCGAACCTCAAGGGGAGCAGTTCGAAACCACCTGTAAAGATTTACAGCCTCAGAAACCCACTGCAGGGTCGCTATCAGTCGGAACCGACTCCACGGCCCACCAGCTTTTCTACAATCAGGGTTCCTGCATTGCGTATCTGAGTGGGCTCAGGGCGTGTAATGATGCATATTTGTTGAGGATACTGGGTCTCGCTAAATTCCTGTTTGTTGTTGTTGTTATGTGCCGTGGTGCACAGGATTTCCGATCTTTACGGGAACAGAAAGCCTCATCTTTCTCCCGCGGAAGAGCTGGTAGTTCCGAACTGCTGACCCTGAGGTTCACAGCCCTCTGACCCGTCTAATCCTTCAGTTGTCTTGACGAACACTTGTCGGTCCTTACTGTGCTCCTTGTTCCTCTGGCGTTTTCGGTGGTAATTGAGTCCATTCTTTCGGTGACTCATCAGGCATTGCTTCCGCGTCCATTCAGCACCATCCATTCAGCTGCACTGGAGCGGGGCCACCGACTGAGCACTGGTTCGGTCGCAGGTGTGAGACGCCCCCTGGGAGGTAGACCTCCTCGTTCATGCTGGAGTCAGTCGGGGGTCCCAGGCAGGCGGGGAGCACGGCTCAGAGGGGCCCAGTCAAGGCGCAACTACGCCTGCGCCTGGCACCTGCTTCCTGGCTGTGTCCCTCCTCCCACCAAGTGTAAGCATGGTCACATTGTGGGCCAAGCACTGCATCGTGATCCTCAAGGTGGGCAGTTCCATCCCACCAGCCGGCCTGAGGGAGAACGATGAGGCTGTCTGCTCCCCTAAAGATGGATGGCAGTCTCGAAAACCCTCCACAGGGTCCCTGTGAATCAAAAGGGACTCCGTGCAGCAGCCGTGCCTTGTCCCTGAGAGGCGAGGCACACGTCCTGTGTGTCCAGCTTTAGCAAGTCCTTGTCTGAGACGGTGGTGGCGTTCGAGAGTGGGCAGACTGCCCATGTGAAGCCCCGGGAGACACGCTGCAGCCGTTTTCCAGGCTCGCAGTCAGGTCTGAGGCCGCAGCAAGGGGGTAGAGGCAAGGGCGCGTGTTCCTACACGGAGGGAGAGCCTGAGAGTAAAGGGGCTGCGGGGTTGAGAGAGAGACACCTGCCCCGCCATGCACATATTTACATGTTCATGTGTATATGCGTATGTATGTGTGTAGGAGTCCTGGTGTGGTGCTGCGGGGTAACGCGCTGGACTGCAGTCAGTTTGAATCTCAAGGTCAGTGGTTCAGGCTCACCAGCCGCTCTTTGGAAACCCTGTACAGAGTTGCTACGGGTCAAAACTAACTCTACGGCACTTCACAATAACACCATATATTGTTGTTATGAAGTGCCATTGAATTAGTTCCAACCCAGGCCACCCTACATAGAGTTTCCAAGGAGCCAGTGGTGAGTTTGAACCACCGACCTTTTCAGTTAGCAGTCCAGTTCTTATCCTACAGCACCACGCCAGGACTCCACACATATATGTATGTATGTATGTTGTTGTGTGCTGTGGAGTCGGTTCCAACTCATAGCGACCCTGTACAGGGTTTCCGAGGCTGTAAATCTTTACGGGAGCAAAAAGCCTTTTTCTCCCCCGGAGCAACTGGTGGTTTTGAACTGTTGTCCTTGCGGTTTGCAGCCCGATTTGTAACCACTACGCTACCAGAGCTCCTTATATGTATGCATATGTAAATAAATTTTCCTTAATATTGAAGCTATTCAAGGGAAACATTTGAGCCATCCATATCTATAGTGCAGTTAAACTTATCATATAAATTGTTTCCTCCTGAATTTTCATGACATTTTTGATGGAACAGAACCCATTCCTTTTTGAAAACCCAGGAGATTAAGCGAATTTCAAAAGTAGGAAGACTTTTAGTTTAATAACTTCTGAAAATAAGATAAGAAATGGAAATCCTTAAGAAAGAGTTTATTTACGATTTGATACATGTGCCAGTATACGATACTGTATAGATCTGCTTGACATGGCATTGAAACTGAATATCAAGCCACTGTGATTATGAGATTTTTTTCAAAGTAAATTTATTTAGAAGCTTCATTTTGATGGAATAGATGTAGGCTCCCACTAAGCGATCAATTTAAGATTGGAATGAGTCTGAATGTTTCCATTTTTGTAGATTTAAGAGGTTATTCTGGAGTCCTGCTATGACACTGCAGGTTAATGCACTGGACCACACGTTTGAACTGCAAGGTCGGCAGTT